GCAAGCTTATAGGCTGGAACTTCACAGAGGTATTCCTTGTTCGCGTCTGATCTAAAGATTTCAAATTCAGCCTTCACGCACCCAAAGATCTCACGTATGCACACGTCAGAGTTTAAACTGGCATCATGCCAACTCCAGATTTAAGCTGACCAAGTTGTAAGAGAGCTGCAACTTTGCAGCGGTACTTGTCGCTGACTGTTGTGTCCGTGAAAATAAATTGAGTTTTCCAGCCCTTCTGCATCCCAAGTGCGAACGCGTGAAAATTTCACGCATGCACTTTTGTAACTTCAGGATTGAAGTAGCTAGAGGACGGGAACTTTTTGAGCATAACCGATGGTAGCCTTTTATCAGATGGACGCAAAAAAGAATTGCACATCACTTTCACGTCTCACTTACACACGTGAAATTTGGTGTGACTTTGCAGTCAAAACACCTAGAGCGCTGAAATTTTCTGAGCGTTGCCCAGGACCGTGCTTGAGCAGTCGCACGCAAAGAAAGCAATCACGTTGCCACTCATGTATGAACACGTGAAATTTGGCGTAACTTGGCGACTAAAACAGCTAGAGCGCTGAAACTTTCTGAGCGCTGCTTGAGACCGCGTTTGAATAGTCGCACGCGAAGGCACTCGCGTTGCCACTCACTTACGAACACTTTAAATCTGATATAACTCCGTAACCGAAGCATCTGGAGTGCTGAATTTCTTGGCGTGAATTGGGAGTCATCGAAATAATTTCTAACAGTCGTGGTGGCTACTGTTAATTCTCTTAGCTAGAAGCGTCTGCTGGAAAAAAATGTCATTAGCACAAAAACCTGCGGGGGGAGGGGGACTGTGCAAAAAACTCATTTTCGCGCCGGCATCCGGCGCGCTTTTGACTAAGTTTGTATCTATGCAAAGCAGAAACGCATATTGTGGAGGGGTTGTTTTTGTGTGCGTGTCTATGTTTTCCCCTGTACCCATTTTTCATCTCGAGACTTGCAAAAGCTACATGGATAAAAATTTGGCAACTTAGTCTATACGCATGTGCCGGTACCTCTTCCCAAATGGACGCTTCTGTCCGCATCGTTCCCACATACGAAAATTTTTGCCGGGTAAGCTGTTAACTCGAGAACCAGTAAGGCTGGAAAGCTGAAATTTTAAAAGAATGTTTTCTGACAGTCTTGGTGGCCAGTCTTAATTCTTTTAACTAGAAGCGTTTGCCGGAAAAGGCAGTGCCGTTAGCGACAAAAACTTCTGATGACTATGCAAAAAAAGCATCTTCCTACCGGCAGCCGGTGCGTTGATCAATTATTGCTTGTGCTACGGCTCGGACTGTTGTGAGCGTTCATGTCTTGCGTAGAGAGGGGTTGTGCAGGGGTTTTACCGCTCTTGGCCTAAAAAATACTGCGTGAAGTATAAAAGTATAATGGCGCGAAATTTTCAGTAGGAGTCTTCGTCAGTTAATCGGCGATTACTCTTTATGCTCCATGCTGAAGAAACTTGATCTAAGCTTCAACGATTTCAATGACGATGGCTCGGATTTTGTTGAAATGTTTGCGAGTTTATGCCCGAACCTTGTGCATTTGAAGCTTGCATCGTGTAATATGAGTTCGACTACAGTTGATGGCCTAGTACGCCAGCTCACAAGTAATATATCATATTTTTTTACAGTTAATCGTGGATAATAATGGATTTCTATGTGTTGTACCATATATATCATTCGCTTCGGTTCACTGTTAAGCAGAAATTTTGATAGGGAATGGAATTCATAAGCTGTGACTGCACATCTTCATACCATTCTATTTCATCTCGAAATTGTTTCAGAAATGGAGTCACTTGAGATGTTGGATCTAAGTTATAACCAGAATGTGAA